AGTGTAGAGGATTCCGCGTGCGTCGTTCGGTTATATATATATATATTATATATTTATATTTATATTTAGTTTTATTATATATAATTATATATATATAGATTTATCGCTTATTTATGAATTAATTTATCGTTTGCTCATCGCCTCGGCGTGTGTCGGTTTTCTTGTGCAGAGCTTTAAGCTTGAGGGGGAGGCTGTGACGACGCAGGAGTCCATCGATCAGCAGAAGATCTACATGTGGCAGCAGCTGGCCTTCTTCATCACGCCGTCCATATCACGAGCCGTCGAGTTCGCTAAACGCATACCAGGTAGCGCTCGCACGCCGCTGCGCGTCACCAGGGGGCGCCGCAGCCGCGCGTCACCGGGGGGGAGGGCAGTGCGTCGGAAGTTTTTTTGCGAAGTGCCTGTACTGACACGATACGAAGGGCTTGCGCATTGTTGTCAATGGGTATTGGGTTGGTTGTTGTTGTTGTTGTTATCGTTGGCTATTATTCCGACTTGTAATATTTAGCCATGTCAGACATGGGCTTATAATCTGTCACTAGTAATAACAGTGACAGTAATAATAAAATTAAAATAATAATAGTAATGATAATGATAATGATAATAATAATAATAAAAATACTCACAATAATAATAATAACAATAATAATAATAACGGTAATAGTAATACACTGAGTAACGATGAGAACACGGCAGCGAGCCTGTGACACTCTGTCATCGTTGCCGCCGCGGTCGTCGTCGTCAACGGCAACCGCGTCCTGACTTTTGCGCTCGTTCCCGTCAATAATCACAATAATAATAATAATAATAATAGTAATTACAACAATAATAATAATAATAGTAATACACTGAGTAACGACGAGACTGTCAACACTCCTGACGTTTGCGCTCCTACCCTCGCAGGCTTCGGCGACCTGGGACAGGACGACCAGCTGATACTCATCAAGTCAGCGTTCTTCGAGGTGTGGCTGGTGCGCATCGCGCGCATGTTCAGTCCCATCGACAACACGCTGACGTTCGGCGACGGCGTCTACGTCACGCGCGAACAGCTCGAAATGATGATCACGGTGAGTAGGGGGCGCCGGTGTGCATGGCTAGCGCGGGTAGGGGGCGCCGGCGGAGTCATCCCGCTCCAGATAGTAACCGATTTCCCTGCCAGACACGCACGAAATCCGAGATTTACTCATTGTTAGACGATTAGCCATCATCAATCCTT